ATAATAACTTAATTTGTTACCATATTGCTACTATACAGTATATATCGACCCTAAAGTACAGTAACGTTAGCTAATGTGACTTGGCATCGTCTCGGTATTTGAAATTAATTAGGAGCCACTACCTAAATTATAACTAAGTAGGCGCGTGAATAACAGTTACAAGTTTTAGTGCTTATTTGGCCATTTGTTTTATCCCCACATTGCTAATTAACTTACCCTACAAGTTCCCTAATCTATCCTATTTGAATGGCAGTTAGCTAGCTAACGTTAGCTAAGCTTGCTAAACAAACAAACTAAATGCATTGTTACCTAATGGTATGGGCTGGTGTCCATTATGTTGCTGTAAAATTGTAGACAGCACTATATGACAGTAATTACTTATCCTTCATATACCTATGAGTACTTGCCTCTCGGTATCAAACATTCAAAAATACTCTTCTTCTTCTTTTCTTATTCCTTCTTCTTCTTCGTTCCCAGTAATTTAAGGCAGTGTAAAAGCAGGTGGGCTTATTACTGCCCCCCACCGGTATATAATGTGCAATAGTCCAGCTTAATATCCGCTCATATCCTTCAGTATAATCCTGTATTTTGCTAAAACTGAGTAAATGCCCTTGCAATCAGTTGGTGGTTCTCATGTTGGCCAAGCAATGTTGTACCTGAAAAAAAATCCTTAAATCAGACAATTTGTTTTAAATATTTACTTATTTCCATGGTATACTTCCTACAGATTTCGAAACCTGCAGAACTATCTCAGGGCTACCACACTCACATAATCCATTTGGACATTTCCCTACTATCTGTAAACATCTGTTTAAATCCCAGTGGTCCAGCCTTGATCTAGTGAACTTAACTGCAGCCCTGAGGTTTCCATAAAAATAAATTATGATTCTAAATAGTTGGCTGTATAGAGCAGAACATGCAGTAGTCTGAATATAGAAAATATAATTGGTAAGGATTTTTACACACAAAATTACTGACATTTTAATCCCTCTTCAAGAGGACTGTCACAGTTTGGAGGGGTTTATTGAGGAGAAAGTGTTGATACAGGAGGTTAAAGAATCAGCAGCTGACTCTATGCATGCATCCTGAATTAGACAGATTTGTAGTGTTTTCATAGCTCAACTAATAACAAATATGGTAACAAATTGACATGAAGACAACATGCACAACAGTAACATAACATGAGCCTATCCTTCATACATAATTCCTTTTTTCCTCCATGTCAAAATCTTACCATGAACAGGAAATTTCTGACAAATTAAAGGAGTGTTTAGACTCAGTTTATGAACTTAGCAAATAAACTATTGATGTTGCATCTCCCCATTAACATCTACAGCTTGTTTCTTTGCCTTACAACCAAATGCAGATAATAACATGAACACGTTTCATGTACACTTTCAGTTATCCACACTGAGAGATTCAAATTCATCAGTATAAGAGTTAATTGTAAGCTCAGCTATCATGGGCATGCTACAACAGACTGTATACATGCGTTTATGCTTGTGTGTGTATACTGTATGTGCACAGTGAGTGTAATCACAGATATGAATATTTCTTTCACAGCTCATCGGTCTCTCCATCGAAGGGCACAGCATCGATCTCCATATGAATGCTGCTGGGCTCACTGCTGCCCACCCAGCCAATAGGAGTGCGGTTAAAGGAAGGCCTGCCACCGATGTCATTCCCGTACACTATTATGGGCTCCAGTTTGGTCGACTTAGTGTCTGGCAGCTGGAATTTCATGAGCTGGTTGGCCTTCTCATAGCCGCCATAGGGCATGGCAGTCCTAGCAAAGCAAGGGGAAACAATTATTAATGCCCCTGTTTGTCACAAAGCACCTACACAGTCAGGCCATGAGGGAAGTACCTGTTGAAGCATTTGTACTTGGGCAGGTCCTTTCTCTCAACAGGGCCAGGCATTGCAGCTTTCAGAGTGGCAAGCAGATTCTCATCCCCCTTCATGGCCTTCTCCCATGGTGACACATATGTCTTCAGATGACTCTGCTTCTTAGATGCATCATCTCTTCCACCTCCTGTGAAGAAAGCATCAATAACTAGAGCATATAGTGTGTTGTTTGTGAATCAAATAGGACGATAATGTTCACTGTGGGAAACACACTTGTTTGCCTTTATTTTTTTTGACAAGAGCAATACCACTCTCATGTCTGTGTCCCAAATACAGTATGTAGTCAGCAGCAGCCAGTTAGATTACCGCAAACACTAGGGAAATATTCTGACTCTGCCCAAAAGTATTTAAAAAAATCTGGCTACTATCACTTTTAAAGTTTACAAATGCTATCACATTTAATAAGTCATCCAAAACCCAAAGTGTTGATTGTTTCTTCACTGGGTGCAACAGCTTCCTGCTTGTCTCCACTGGTTGACAATCTCAAGACAAGATTGTTTTCACAATTTGTTTTTGTACATATTAAACAAAGAGCATATACTGTTTCAGTTATCTTTGGAGGTCCTGGTAAGCAGATCTTATAACCTTTAGACAGAACCAGTCTAGCTGTTTTCCTCCCTTTCCTGTAGAATAATTATTCTAATATTTAAGTTTTCTGGCTCAGGTTTATTGTCATTTCCATACATATACATTACGTACATACAGGTAAATGAAATGTCATATTTCATGGGCCCAAGTGGAACTTAAAACACACGTAACCGCAACATCAACAGTTCGATTCCTTCTCCCCTGCTCATCCTCCCTGCTCTCTCTCATACCCTCATGCTTCGTGTCAGCATCTTCACTGTCACTTGTCACATAAAGGCAAAAAGAAAAAAAAGTATTTGTAGACTAAACCTAAAACCTGTAAACTAAATCTTAACAAGTACAAATGCCACACAGTCTTAAGGATAAGAGTGAGCATTCTTACTGTACAACAATATAGATGTAGAAAAGGTCCAGTATATTTACTCTTCTTCTAGGAAACCCTACATGCTGGTGTAATTCTGGCTAAACAGTCTTTAAAATTGGTGCTCAAACTGTTAAGGATCCTCACAGCTTGAAGAAAGAATTTTTGTACAGCCTGGCAGTAGAAGTCAGTGATGCATTTGGTCAAAACACAATGGTGTCTCTGTAGAACATGGTGAGGACTGGTGAAGAGAGGCTTCTCTTCCTCAGTTGATGCAGAAAGATATTGAAGATGAAAATGTTGCTTTGCTTTCATGGAGAGTACTGTCTCAAATGTAAGGTCCAGGAGAGGTCTTTTGGGATTCGCACTCCCAGAAACTTTGTGCTGTTGACCCTATCTACAGTGGTGCCATCAGTACTCATTGATGTGTGGTCACCATGCATCTGTTGTTGCTAAAGTCTGATAACCTTCATTTTCGCTATTTTTAGGGAAAGGTTGTTGGTCCTGTTGCAAGTAGGTCCACTTTTTCTCTCAATGCTGTTTCATCATTGTTGCTGATGTGGCCCACCACCGTTGTGTCAGCAGTAAACTTGATGCAGTTGGATCCAAATGATACAGTGCAGCCCTACATGTCCGTCAGCAGTGAAAACAGGAGTGGGCTGAGCACACAGCCCTGGAGAGTGCCAGTTCTCAGTGCCAGATGCAGGACGTGTAGCTCCTAATCTGGACTGATGTGGCCTACCAGTGAGGAAGTCCAGGACTTTATTGCAGAGATGTTCAGGCCTATGTCCTGTCTTCATAATCAGGTGTTGTGGGATGATTGTGTTAAGGCTGAGCTACATTCACTGAATTGCACCCTGACATGTTGTGTTGTTTCCAGATGGAACCTGACTGGGTGCAGGACAGATGTTACATCTTTATGTCTGTAAATTATTTATTTAAATACATTGTGTAGCAAGAGGTGCAAGGCCATAAAAGAATCCACATAAGAATGACCAAAATAGTGACACTAACCTTTTAGTGCAGACGACTCACTAGCAGATGCGTCTCCTTTCTTAGAACTCCCGTGCTCGCCACCACCGAGTCCTCCTGCACCTCCTGCACCTCCTGCACTTCCTGCACCTCCTGCTCCTCCTATTCCATGGCTTCCAGGTTTTGGAGGCGGCACAGGAGCCCCTCCTATACCGTGTAACCCTCCAAAATGCAGGTGTCCAGCCTGTTTGCTAAGATAATGCCCACCGACAGATATCGTCTCACCTCCCATCTGACCTCCCACAGAGGGAATAAACTTCTGAAGATTGTCCTGAAAGAAATATGGTCAGTATAACCAAGCATATGTTACACATCACACTTACTTTTTAATTACAGAAGAACTGCTCTCACCATGGAATCACTGATGAAGATGTCCGGGTTGTTCTCATAGATGAACCTCTCCACTCTCTGCTTCCTCATCTTGAACATCTTGGAGCCTCGGTTCTTCAGCAGGGAAAGCTCCTCCAACATGATGTCTTTGGGAATTCCAATCTTTTTTCCCAGGTCGAACTCAGATGTCTCTCGCTGTGACCGATTCTCTAGGTAAGGTGGGGGCATAACATTTAGAAATGAATGTATGTGGAAACAAAAATGTCACTAAGAAGTCTAGAAGGTGTAAATGTACATTTACTGTAATTAATGTTAACTTTTATTGAAATATTCACTAATATGTTTATTAACAGTCAGATTGAATCGACACAGTCACAAACTGCTTACTGTAACTCAATCAGTAATCATTGTTTTATGAGATTGTTGTACTGACATTACTATTATTACAATATTAGATTTTAAATGTTTGTTTGATAACTCCTACAATATTTTTTCATTTTCTCTGGCCCAAGTTTTACGCTTAATGACACTTACGACTTCATTTTACACACTTAAAGGGTACAATATCCTGACTGGGCCAAATACATCAACTCTTTTAAATAAACAGTGAACCCAGACTCATACAGTATATATTTAGAGTTATGCTGATTAATATACCTCTTGTTTTGTATTATTTTGTATCTTTATTATCTGTAATGCAGACGAAACCCCACTTTCCTGTAAAATTATTAGACCATGTACACTACATATTGCCTGTCATCTATTTATTTATATATACTGTGTTTATACAGTATGAAAGATCCGTTTTGAGTATATGGAAATTTGATGTCATATAATTTCATATCAGCCTTACCTTCCTGAGTGATATGTGCTAGGTCAGTTATGATCTTGGAGGGCTTTTTCCGCTTGCTTAGGGGGGTTGGTGTTCTCACAGGCATGACTGGAGGGTCAGGAAAGAATATAGTGTTAGCAGTTAACAATATTTGGGTTACAAACAGAGAAAAAAAAACTCCTATTTTAAAACTCAATATGTAGCGAAGAGTGATAGAAGAATTGAAAGTAAAGCTATTTCTCCAAAGAGACAAAATAGTGACGTCAAAGCCTCTTCAGAAAATATTTTGTTGAAATGCTGTAATTTTATTTTATATAACATAGTTAGTATTTCAGAATGTTTATTAGAAATAACACTAAAAGTGCAAAGAGAAAACAAAAGCAAAAAACAAAATGGAAACAAATGATCTTTCCAATATAGCAACTTGATAAACATTTGCTTGATGTCATCATATTACAATATTTTACTGCTGAACATAACATTGCTATTGTTCCAGTGAATTAATTTCTCAGAATCTGCATTGTCACATTTTCAGACTAAGGTTCAGATGCACTGAAGGGGGAGTTTATGGTTCAGTTTTAAGATGCATTTCAGACAACTGAAAGAAACTGGCATAGACTGCTTTGTGATTATCCATGACTATTTTCTCATATCAGCCACTATACAGAACTGTCAACAAATCTTTAATGTGAATAAACTGAACCCGACTGTATCAGACAGCATCATCTTTCAAGTTCAAGAGAAATGTTAGCGCCTTCAGATTCTTCACATTCCCCAGTAAAACAGATGTCTGCCCTGGAGGAAACACAGCTGTGTAATGTGTATTTCAGTTTATTTGCGGACACAAGATACATGTACATTGTCTGTGTCATTATAAACAGAAGCATGCTGTAGCTTAGGGAGAAACTGGTGCTCAGAGCATTCTAATGCTACTCTGCTGCAGTAAAGGTGAAGGCCTCAGGAACATAAAATAGAACATGGAAATATGTAGGCCAAGCAAGTGGGAGTTACACGATGGTACTACAATCTATGGTCCTCCCTAATCTCACATATGCATCTATCTTATGTGTTTACCTTGTACTGTTTATTGTCTGCCTACACACAGTATCTGTACCTTTAGCTCTCAGCAGTTTCTTTAAGGCCCAGTCAAGTGACAAAACATCACATCTAATGGCTGTAACTCAACCCATAGCAGCTATTTTTAAAAGCCATTTACAGCCAAGACATTTTAGCGACGTGCAATGGCGTCATTCGACTATCAAATGAGCTTGACACAACTGTTAAGGACACAATACACACCTCCAGAAAAAAAAATTTCAAGTGTTATTTTGAACTTCTCTTAAAACACGAGGGTGTTGTGGATGTTAATGCAGAGGGTTGTGGAAAAGGTTTTCATTGCCTTAAATGACTGCAACCTTGGAGACCCTTTGCACTCAAATTTACCACCCCCTATCAAGGACTGCTAACACCATATAAAATCTTTGCAACGCCCACAGAGAGGGATAGTCAGCTACATTCATTTTAAGAAACTCTAAAAGCAGCAAAGTAACTCCGAGCCATTTTACTTCAGTTGTTGGTAGAATCAAAAGCATTCTCACAAATGCAAAGGAGTAATCTTTTTTTTACCAAATTGCTGAGCACCTAGTGAGGTTATATGCTTCCCCAAGACTGGCTGCACAACCCACAAAAATGATGACTGGCAACATGTTGCATAGCTTTATTCCCTCTCCCCATTTTTGTATTGAAATCCAAGCTGTTGGTTGATTAGTAAAACAAAGCACACAGATGGGATGCAGATCCACTCACCGGGTTTTTGTTGTAATCCTGGCAGGAGAGACAGACCTATAAATACCAAACACAGGAGATGAAACCAACGGCTCAATGCTGGTGATCTCGGAGCACAAATTTACAAAACCCTTGGTGCCTCTGACCCTGTGTGCAGTTGGACCCAGGTCCCGGGAAGTGGAAAACCCAGCCTAGACTTAGATGACAGATCGACCAGAGGGCTGGGGTGTGGGTGGCAGTGGTACTGGTATCAAGACGGGTGGAGGAGGAGGAGGAGGTTGAGGGTCAGAGTATGAATAGGAATTGGGGGATCGTTAAGGCGGGGGGGAAAGATTTGTTGGCCAGCTGAAAGTGCTGATGGCTGATATTAAAGGAACAAAATCATTCTCACAGATGGCTCAGAAGCCTATATTTAGTAGGTAGGCATGAGGGGTAGAGAACTCAGCTATAATATAACCTCAGAGGACACCAGGGTGTGTTTGGGGTACACAGAGAGGTTGATACAGAGGGAGAGTGGTGTATGTACATGTGCAAAGTGCACATTTAATGTTACATATATACTATGTGTATATCAAGCACATATGAGTTTGTGTTTCAAAGCGAGGCTTGATGTAGTTCCTTTATTTCCCTTCATTTCTCTAACTCGACACTAGATTGTCACATTTTCAGTTTCTCTGAAGCATCATGTGAATGAAAGTGATGAACATGTGGAGGTAGAGCTGCCAGACACTCTAACAATGTTAGCATTGCCAGAACAGCATTCGTAACACCATGTAAAAGTACCAGAGAGTATCCAAAGGCCAGTAGCAACTAAAGACCAGCATTGGGCAGTAACTGTAATTAAATTACAAAGTAATTGTAATCAGTTACAGTTACTGAGAAAATATACATAATTAAATTATTGTACAGTTACTAATCAAAATGTTGGTGATAACAAAGGGCTTACACCAGAATATATTCTTTTCAGTAAAAACCTTGTACATGCAATATATATAACATTTATTCTGTTGCTGTTGAAGAAGTGTATCACAGAGCGGCGCAAGTAACAGACATTGTGGATCAGCAGAAACAGATGTACATCGCGCTGATGAACCAACAGCAGGAAAACTTCAAAAGTTTTGTGCAACTAATTATGGAGACAAACAACAAGAGATTCGACGACATGACCAGAGAAATACAGGAGATAAAAACGAGTTTGCAGTTTACCCAGCGAGAGGTGGATGTGATTAAAGCTGCCATGGGTGAACAGAAAACACAAACCAAGGAAACGAGGGATGACGTCTACAAAACTTGTGAGAGTTTAATAAATATAACGGATAAAATGGAGTATTTGGAAGCACAGTCCAAGCGAAAAAACTTGATCTTTGAAGGAATCAAGGAGACAACTGGAGCAAGCTGGACGGAAGCGGAATGTAAAGTGAAGGAGATTCTGAAGAATAATCTGCAAATTCATCAGGAAATTGAGATGGAGCGGGCTCACAGAGTCGGGAAACCTTCTGATCGTGGTCCGAGGGCGGTGATGGTAAAGTTGATGAAAGAGAAAGATAAGGCACACATATTGCAACAAGCAAAGAAGCTTAAAGGATCTAACATTTATATAAATGAAGATTACACCGAGTCTGTGTAGAAGCGAAGAAGGGAGTTGATGCCGAAGTTAA